AGGAAGACTCATAGGCATTTATCACAACTTGCTCTATGTACCAATGGCACAGCAAGTTGAAAGCAAGGAAAACCTGAAGCATTTACTGAGAAAGACCTAAAATGGCAGCATTCAGTATAGATTATATCTCAATATAACAGAAACAAAAATCCTCACAACTGGGCCAATAAACAGCATTATGATGAAGGGAGGAAAGATTGATGTTGCCAAGGATTTCACTTTACTTGGATTCAAAATCCACACCCATGGGAAGCAGCACTTAGGGAAATCAACCAACGTAGTCCATTTGGGCAGACCCGCTGCACAAGACCCATTTAACGTGTCCAAGAGCCAAGATGTCACTTTGAGGACTAAGGTCCACCTGAGCCAAGTCGCTGCATTTTCAGTCGGCTCGTGTGCTGGGAAAGCTAGACAATGAATGAGGAAGATTGGAGAAGATTTGATGACTGGAATTGGGGCGTTGGTGAAGAATATTTCAAGTACCATGGATACTTGAGTGGGTGCAGAGCAATGAACAAGTCGGTCTTGGAGGACGAGCAGCTCTTCAGACGCGAGGATGGCAAGACTTTGTCCTTTGGACCTGTCCGAAGGCTGAGTCCTAGAAAAGGACACTATGCTTGGTCAAGTAGAGGGCCAGTGGAAACGCAGGCCCTCGATGAGGTGGATTGGCACAGAACCATTGTGGGGACAGCACAGGACAGGGCAGTGTTTTATTCTGCTGTGCAGAGTCCCTATGAGCCAGAATTGATTAAATGGCCTCTAATAACGAACATGATTCTGTAGCAGTACTTTTGACTTACCCTCATGCATACCATCTATATGTGAGTATGTGTATTATACACAGTGTATGTTATACGCACAGGCACATATATGTGTGTGAGTATGTGTATTTTTACCAGACTAATAAAGACTCTGTCACCTAATAATACATGATTAAAGGAAACCTTGAGGCCGACGGGGGAGGGACTGGGAGGCACTTGAGCCTGGAGAGAGATTGGGTTCCTCTCTGAAGCTGACTACAGAGCTGCTAAGCACATAAGGGTCCAGACAGAAAAAACGGCAAAGGCAAGAAGACCAAGCAGGGGGAAAGCATGTTGCTTAGAGATCTTGTGAGGAGAGCAGTCAGTAGGAGGAGCGAGAGGGAGCCGCATTCAAAGTTATAGGCAAGGGTGTGGTCATATCGGGCCTTGTAGAGTTTGTGCGGAGTTGGCTTTCCATCGAATTGAGGGAACCCCTGAGGATACTGTCCCCAGCTGATGCCTGTGCAGTCACCACGTGTCACTGCAGGCCTGTGTCTCCAGTGACACTGAATGGGCTCCTGCAGTTCCAGACGAGGTGGGCGAGGAGAATCTATTTCTGGACATCAGCATCGAAGACCCTGTGGGTCAGCAGAGGCCAATCCACACACCATCATGTGGAAAGTGAGGACTGGGCAGGGTTTTGGCTCATTACGCTCAGGGTCACCACGAATCAGGGACCAGCTCAAGCAAGAAGGGCATGCATGGCACACACGCGCTTCAAAGACAACACTGCTCCGGACAGACTGTTCCCCAACATCTACAAATGACCAACAGGCACAGGGAAAAACAACCCCCACCATTAGTCATCAGAGAAAGGTAAACCAGAGCTGCAGTGGGGTGCCACTTCCTACCCACGAGAGTGGCTATATTAAAAAGATGGGTAGCACTAAGCGCTGGCAGGGTGGTGGAGGAAACAAAACCCTCATGTGCAGCTGCTGGGAATGTAAAACGCTGCCGTCGCTTTGGAAAGCAGGGGCAGTTCCTTAAAGGGTAAGATGTAGAGTTGTCATATGACATAGTTCTACTGTCATATGACAGTTCTACTCCTAGGAATAGATCCCTTATAAACGGATACATGTAGCTACAAAAAAAAAAAAAGCATACACAAGGGGCCACAGCTATATTATTCATGATAACCCCAAAGTAGAGACAGCCCAAACCAACTAAAGCGTGGACAGACATAACAGGGCATCCCCATGCCATATAATGGAATGTGATTCTGCCATAAAAGAAATGAAATGCTGCTCCAAGCGACAACATAAATGGACCTTGAAAACATAATGCAAAGAGAAAGAAGCTAAAGATGAAGACCCGTACATCGCATGATCCGTGGCCATGAGCTACCGGAGGAGGTGGCTCTAGAAAGCCCAAGTAGATTAGTAATTGCCCAGGGTGTTGGCGGAGGGTGAGCAATGAGTGGATACAGGCTTCTTTGGGGGGTGATGGAAATGTTCCATGGTTAGATCTTCTGATATCAAACGTTCTAGTGTCAGTTGCATAACGCTGATTATACGGGATTGTACACTTTAAATGAGTGAATTGTCTGGTGCACAAGTAAAGCTGTTCTATGAAAAACAAAACTGCTCTGGAGACTGGATCATAGGGAGGCAGAGCAGAAGCTATGAGATCAGGTGGCCAACAATCATGGAGAGAAAGTTGACCAGCCCACAGTAGGCACTTAGTAAATATTTGTGGATGCCTTTGTACGTATCTCATATGAGCTGGTCCCTATTCAGAAATGCCGTTTCCTTCCAACCCAGTTTTCTTAATCTCAGTACTCAATAGCTTGGGCAGAGATGGCTTGCTGTGCATTGTGAGATGTTTAACAGCATCCCTGACCTCTGTCCACAAGATGCCAGGACTGTCCCCACTCCCTCTCACTCGGGGGTAACAGCAACTATATCACGTATCCTCTGAGGGGTCAAATTATCCTCAGTCCAGGAGCACTATTCTAACCTGTCATGCTCACCTGGTGAATTCCTTCGTGTCCACCTGGAGCCACTTTACTAGATCATTTCTGGGTAGCTTTCCCTCTGCATCCTCTGTGGCTCCAAGGTTTGTGAACATCCCATGTCAAAGCCCATAGGACATGAACCTGGCCTCCACCCTGGTCCTCACCGCACTGTCTGGAAGCCCTCAGAGATGACATGCTTTGAGTTCTCAACAACCAGCATACAATCTAGCACGTTGGAGGCCTCGCCGTTGAGCTATTTCTTCACCTGTGAAAAGCAAAGAGGCATGCCTTCCACTGGGTTCCTGCGGTAGGTGCTTACAGGTCCTTTGGGCTAACTCTGCTTAGGAGTGTAGACTCTGACTCTTAATGGCTTGCATTGAAATCTTCTGTGACCATGGACAAGCAGCCTACTGTATCTGACTCTTGGTTTCTTCTCTGTCAAATTGGGATATTCGTGGCGTCGACATCGACTAGAGTGATAAACAAGATCATGACAAAGATCATGAGAAGAACATGAAGTTGTCAAGGACTTCATTCTTCTTGGGTGAGATCTATCAATGGTCATGGAAGCAGCCATCAAGAAGTCAAACAATCTGCTACAGAAGGACCTCTGGAAAGTTTTCAAGAGCTAAGATACTGCTTTAATGACTGAGGTGTGCCTGACCCACCCCATGATCATTTTACTGCCTCAGAAGCATGCAGAAGCTGGGGAACGAATAAGGGAGGCCCACGAAGAATCGATGCATGTGAGCTAGTGTTTGTGAAGAATAGTGATTGTACTGTGGACTTCCCGAAGAACAAACACATCCGTCTGAGAAGAAATACGACCAAGGTGTGTCTTCAAATCTAGGACGGCAAGACTATGACTTGCTTACTTTGGATAGGTCAGCAGGAAAACCAATCTGTCGAAAAGGGCATCCTGTTTGGTGAAGCAGAGGGCCAGGAGAAAGGACAGAACCCCTCAAGGAGATGGGTTGACATACTAACCACAGCAGTGGAGTCAGACATACCGACTGTCTTGAAGGCAGTTTGATACACACACATGTACATACATCACAAGGGGGCATCCGAAAGTTCATGGTGAATAGAATGAGAGTGGACTTCTTCCAAGAACCTTTTGAAGTCCCTTGTATATAAACCCATGGCCTTCGAGTTAATGCTGACTCATAACAACACTGCACGACAGAGCAGGACTGCCCCAGGGCTTTCGAAGCTGCCACCTTCATGCAAGCAGGTGGCCTTGCCTGTCTCTGATGGAGCAGCAAAGAGGTTAAACTGTTGACCCTCGGGGGTTGCATTTGAGCACTTTAACCACTGGTTCCCAGGGCTCCCTGGAGTGTGTGTGTGTATGGGGGGGGGGGGGGGTCAAAAGGGGGGGGGGAAATTCCACCGGCTTTTAATTCCATTTTCCCATGACTTTTTAAGGCTGCCCCCCCATCTCCCACCACACAAGCAAGTCCCCTTATTTCATATCTTGCTTTTATAAATAGCCAAATGTTATTCTATAATCTCACTGCCTCACCCTGTAAATTACTTAATTGATCTTCTGTGGCTGTACCTCTGGCTATCTCTGTTGGTGACTATCTGTGCAGTGGGAAGAGGCTTTCTTCTGATTCCATCAGTCTGTCTGGATGTACTTAGTCCTCCCTTACTTTGAAAACATTTCTGGTGAAGGAACTTCTCCAGCCTGCCAAGATACCCATTTTTCCCAGCATCAGGAATCTACTTCCGAAAGTTGCGCTAAATCCTCAGGATTCTCACTTAATCCTGCTTCCTCATCTTTGAGGCTTTGGTGGAGATAGACCACAGCTGGACTCAACTTCTCAGACCCAGCCTGGGAGAGGGCCAGGGAGAGTCCACTCCAGTAACTGAGATGGAGAACAGAAAGCGCCTGTGAACCGAAGGATGTTAGAGGAGGCCAAGGTTAATGGGAAGAGTCTACCAGGACAAGGTAGTGGGAGAAGGAAATGAAGCTGGCAGACTGGCCTGATACCTGCTTCCCATAGGTCGCTGAGTCAGGACCTTCCTTCCAAAAGAAGCACTAGGCAAAAATGGCCTAACCCCGCTGCCAGTGCATGTTTTCAGTCATAAGTGGCAGTTCTTCCCACTACAAGTGGAACCAGAAACCAACACTCAAACCTTGGGGGCCACACGGTACCATTATAAACACCCTGGGCTCAGGTGGACCTGGGTCCAACCCCATCTCAGGTTCTTCTCACCACTGCTCCTGTGTGAAAACCACGTACCTCTGTAAGCCTGGCTTGCCTCATCTGTAAACTGGGTTGGCTTCCAGAACGACTGTGCTGCTAATGCCGTACCTTTATTAAGCAGGTGCTCGAGAGATGCTGTTTCTTAAACTCTGGCCTCTTTCTACCTGAGGGTCAGAAATGTCGATGAGTAAAATCTATTCCCTTCTGCATGAGAACCTCTAATGACTAGGGGTGGGGCTGGGTGGGGTGGAAGTCACTATTTCCAATATATACAGGAATTCTTTGATTTAGAGATCAGGGAACTGAGGCTCTGAGAGGTTAAGCAAGATTTTTACTGTTGTAAGCCATCATTTGGGAGTTGCCAGGTCTTAGATAGCCAATGAGGAGCAGGGTTCCTGGGCTCTGCACGGAGCCGGGGTCCCTGCTGCATGCCCAGCCAGACTGCCAGTCTGATCCATCCCACTGACCATCTCAGGGAGAGGCGAGGGAGAGGACCTGGTGTGTTCCAATGGGTTCCCAGGAGGTGCCCAGAGCCTGGAAGCTTAGGCCACTACGTCTCTTGGGGAGCAGCACGCACCATTTCCATGAGCTTGCCCCACATAGGGACACTTCCAGGTCCCTTCCCCATTCACAGCGGAGGACACACAGGTTCTCAGGCTCAAGGTCAAAACGCTCCTTTAGCAGCCGCACCGGTAATCAGCTGCCTGTCCCTGTCTGTCACTCAGCAGGCGTGCCCTTCATCAAATATTCTAGGGTGGGCTCCACCTGGCAGGGCACTGCTTGTCCCTGATCTTACTTCCCGGATCACAGACACCAATCATAGACAGCTGGCTGCCTGGGGTCTCAGCGGAGCTAAGGGCAACCCCACCCCCATCCCTGGCTCCCTGCTGGTCTTCCTTAAACAGAGAAAGTCACTCTGTGCTCCTAGGGACACATCGCCCTCCTCTAGCCCCGGCTCCCCCACCCTACCCCAAACGTCACTGTCCAGCCCGAACCCGGGCAAAACTGGGGCAATTTCGGCGCGGGTGGACTTTCCAAACCCATGCCAACGCAGCAGTAGGGACATAACCCCTACCCCGCACCCTAAGCCCTGAGGCAGACCAGGGCTTCCTCCGATTCTGCAATGCCTCTCTTGGGCCACCAGGAAGAAACCTGAAGCTTGGAATCAGCCAAGGTCAGGCACAGCCCACTGGCGGCGGGCAGGGGCTCCAGCCAGCATTGGCCCCCGCCTGAGGCGAGGCCCAGCGAGGGAGGAGGTGACGGTCGCCTTACCTGGTGCCGCCGCAGTCGGTGGGGCTCTGGCCAGGCGAGCCTGGGCTCCCGCGCCTGCCCGCGCCTGCAGCGCTCGGATCCAGGCTGGGATGCCCAGTGCGGCGCTGACTTCCTCGGCTCCGCCCCCAACTCTCTGGGCGCTCCCCATTTCTCCTTTCGCTCTCTGCCCCTCCTTCCCACCCCAGCTTCTCTCTTTCTCAAGCCAAGCGCGCTCACATGGGCGTGCTCACGCGCGTGCACACACACACTCCACACTCCCACACACTACCTTATCCTCCCCCCACACTCCCACACACACACTCACACACTCCACACACACACACACACGCACGCGCGCGCAGGACACTCTCGCCCCCTTTCCTTTCTCCCCCAGTCTTCCTCCTGCAGGGGTCTTGGTGGCACAGTGGTTCAGGCACTTGGCTGTTCTCCCAGCTGCTTCCCGGGAGAATGATGTGACCTGGACATGGACTGATAGCCCTGGAAACGCCCTTCACTTTGGGTTCCTTCAGTACCTGGGGGTTGGTTGCCGCCAAGTTGGCTCTCAAATTCACTGCCATGGAGTCCATGCTGACTCATAGCGCCCCTTGTGGGTTGCCGAGACTGTAACTGTTCACTGGAGTAGGAAGCCCGGTCTTTCTCTGGCAAAGCGCAGGGTGGTTTTGAACTGCCGATCAGGTGGATGGAAGCCCAACATGCAACCACTACTGCCAACAGGGCTCCTCAAGTTGGCTCTAGGCAGAAGCCCAGTGCCATCACCTCGATCTTTGATATACGTGAGTCTATTATATGGCTGTCATGTTCCTGCATCTCATTAGGGGTTCTCCCTCCTTGTCCCTTACTCTCCGACTTACCAAACAGGATGTCCTTTTCCAGCCATCGGCCTCCTACAAACCCAACCACACTCACTACCCTCTAGTGGACGCTGGCTCACGGAGACCCTGTAAGGCAGGGGAGAACTGTGCCTGTGAGTTTCTGGGTGTGTCAGGTAGAAACCTTTGTCTTTCTCCCTGGAAGCAGCTGGTGGTTTCAAAGTGCTGACCTTGCCGTTCGCAGCCCAAGTGTAACTATGCCACGGGGGATCGGGTTAGAAAAGTGAAAGAGCCAGTGTGGAGGGGAAAAGCCTGGACAGTTCTGGAGTGAAGGTCTAGAAATGAGAGGTCCTGTGGCAGAAGGGCTCATCGAAACCAACTATTGCAATAAATGTAAACAGAGACAAACCCAAATCAATAAAACTTCAGAAAATCCCTAAGTGGGCTGGCTTGCTCAGGTTGGAGGTAGGGATATGGAAAGAGAAGTGGGGAGGAGGGCCTTGGGCAAAGGCGCTTCTCTCACGAAAGCCTTTCTGGGTAGGGGCAAAAATAAAAAAGAAAGAGCTCATCTTCCACATGAGAATTCTGAGCTTCAGAGGCAAAACAAAACAAGAAAACTCATCCTGAATCTCAGGGGTGCTGCGCTAATGGCACAGGTCTCAGTGTCTCCGCTGGGAAGAAGGCTGGGTGAGCAGGGTGGCCTGGGGGAGCTAACCCATTGTCAGATGGTTGCTTCTGGTTGCCCAGAGAATCTGGCACCTGGTATGGGGTGAAAGGAGGCATCTCTTCAGAAGCTGGGCAAAGGAGAGCCATAGGGAGCAGGCTTAGTTGGGCATGGATACGGTACATATGATGGTGATGATGACCGATAGATCTTTGGGACCTTAGGCGCTGGGCTGCAGAGGAGGAGGCGTGCTCCCCTGGTGCCCTGAGTTCACAGCTTCGAGGAGAGGCTCTGGTGAGCACCAGGAGGCGCAGTCACCTTTGTCTCAAGAACCTCCAAGCTGATGTCTGGGACTCAATCTTGCTCATCTGCAATCCACAAAGCAGCCCAGGTAATCTCTTTTAAAAAGGTGTAAACCACATGATGGGGCTCCTGCTTAAAACCCTCCTATGACTTCCTGTGACTGGACATACCCTTTCAGTCGATTCGATCTCAGAGACGCTGAAGGTCAGGGTAGAACTTTGGTTTCTGAGGCTGTCAATCTCAAGGAGAGCAGAAAGGCTCATCTTTCTCCCGCAGAGTGGTTAGTGGGTTCAAACTGCTGTCCTTGCGATTAGCAGCCCAATTCATAGCCCACGAAGCCACTGGGGCTTCTGTGGTAGAAGGCGTAAAATGGAAACTTCTTATCACTTTCACAAGGCCCTACATGCTCTGATCACTCTCTGCCTCTCTGATCTCATCTCTTTGGGCTCCCTGCCCTCTCACTGTGTCTCACTGTCCCCTGAGTAGGTGGAGCAGGGCCTTCCACAGGCTTTTGGCCAGACTGCTTCCTCTGCTGGGAATGTACGCCCATGTCTTCTCGGCTGACGCCCCTCATCCCAGGCCCAGCTCAAACCTCACCGCCTCTGAGATTTTCCAGGACCATCGCATGGAAGGCACCCACCCTCTTCTCACAGTGTTTTTACGCCAGCCCTTTGAATTAGGACCCAATCACTTACTCCTACCTCAAGTGATTTCATCCATTTCTTCATATGCTGAGTGTCTGTTTGGCCTCACCAAAATATAACATCCAAGGAAAGGAGCCTTGTCTGTCTTATTCATCCAGGGTCTCAGAGCCTAGAGCCAGAAACCAGTTGCCATTGCCTTGCGTCTGGCTCATGGTGGCTCCATGTGAATCCATAGGTGAAGATTTCAAGGACTGACTTTTCTTTTTTATTTTGCAAGTCATAATTCGAATTTTTTTCTTTTTTTAACATTTTATTAGGGGCTCATACAACTGTTATCCCAATCCATACACACATCCATTGTGTAAAGTGCATTTGTACATCATTCTCAAAACATTTTCTCTCCATTTAAACCCCCGACATTAGGTCCTCATTTTTCACCTCCCTCCCCGCTCCCCCCTCCCTCATGAGCCCTTGATAGTTTATAAATGGAAGGACTGACTTTTCAGAGGTAGATCACCTCTCTTCAGAGGCGCTTCTGGAGGGGAAGAAGCCATCTTTTGGGTCAGCAGCCAAGAATGTTACCATTGACACCGCCTAGTAACTCCAGAGATGACAGCAAATGCTGTCAGGTCCCATCAAGAGGTCTCTAACTCATAGTGACCACATGTATAACAACAGGACACATTGCCCGGATCCTGGGCCATCTTCATAACTGCGATTTATGTTTGAAACTGTTGTTGCAGCCACTGTATCAATCCATCTTGTACTTCATGAATAGGTGCTATGATGCTAAAAAAGGAACCATATGATCCTATGGAGGGCAAGAGAGGATTGTTTTTGGAAAGGTCACTTTAGAGCCAGATCTTTAAAATAAAGCCAAGTTTCAGGAGGTGGGGAAGAGGGGAAAGGCCTTGCAGGCAGAGGAAAGAGCCTGAGGCATTCACCCGGTGCAGAATGGTTGGCAGAGCTGCACCTGGAGGTCTGGGAGCAGGCAGAGCAGGGGCCAAGGCTGGAGAGGCCAGCGGGATCAGAGCGGACTTTGAAGACCTGGGTGGAAGTTTGGACAGGTTCCTGTGTGCAGGAGGGAGGGGGCATGGCAGATGTGTAACTTGGGAATGGCTAGAGAATTTAGGAGGAATGTCCTGGGATCAGGAATGTTCTGGAGGCATTTGCCTTTCTGCAGGACTCTCATGGCAGAAAGAGGGAAAGCGAGGAGCCCGTGGACCCATGGTAGACATAGAACGAGAAAGGTTTGGCCCACCTCCTGATATCCTGGTGAAGGATTGTCTTCATTATCTAGTACTGCTCTAACAGAAATACCACACGTGAATTATTTTTAGCAGCAGACATTTATTCTCGCACAGTTTAGGAAACTAGAAGTCTGAGCTTAGAGGGCTAGCTGTAAGGGGAGTCTCTCTCTCTTCCTCTGTGCATGTGTGTGTTGACGTTGGAAGAAGGTCCGTGTCTTCTGTCACCATCTGTGGTCCCAGTGTGGGATATCTCCGTGTGTTTGGCACCAATCTTCTCCTGGGTCTAGGAGGTTTCCAGCACAGGGTTCCTGGATCCAAATGAGAAGTCCCACTCCTGATTCTTCTTTCTTGATGATAATGAGGTTTCTCTCTCTCTCTCTGTCTTTTTCTTTCTCTCTCTCTGCTCACTTCTCTCTCCTATGACCAGACTCAGCATGTTGCCTCCCATTGCAATCCCTTTTCGACCAACTGGCTGATCACATCAGATTGCATCATGAGGCATGATTACATTGTTACATAACTGCTAAGCCACGGAGAATGAGGTTCCAGTCAAGTGACACATGTGATGGGGGTGGCGATGGTGGGGAGTCACAATTCAATCAATGACTGGAGTCGAAGGCTAAAGTGGACAGGATTATCATCTATCATATTCACAGTCCATCCCAGAGGGAATTTGTGTGTCTGAGTCTTGTCTGGCTACTACCTGTTGGCGGAGGCGATCTGTGTCATTTCCAGCAGAGAGAGGCTTTCGGGTCAGTGTGGGCTGCTTGCTGGGAAGCTGGCACTGTTCCAGGCATGTTTCAGGGAAAGGCTGCTCCATCACCATGGCTCTTCCAGTGAAGTCCCAGACCCACAGCCACCCCACTGACTCACCAGCCGGCACTGCTTTGTCAGTTCTTACTTCTGGGGACCCGTGTGTGTCAGCGTCTGACTGTGCTCTAGGCGACTGCCTTTTCTTTGTAAACCTGTGGTTAAAATATACGTAACCAAGCACCTGCCAGGCACACTGTTCACACGTGCAAGTCAGAGATGTTGATGACACTTCCCCATGCACAACCACGGATCCCATCCTTCCCCCAAATGATTCTACCATGATTAGCAAAAACTCATTACCCCGCGCTCCAGGCAATCACTCTCCCTTCCCCCTCTCTGTTTCCCATACCTGGCAACCATGAATAAGCCTTGATTTTGATGTGCCTATGTCATCCAAACAGTTTTCAATGGCTGAAAGTAGGGCTGATCACCCAGCCTGCCTACTGAGGGACGTCTGAGTGGACTTGAATCTCTAACGTGAATCAGTCATCAGCTGAGCACAAGGACTGATTACACCACCTACAGACTTCACAGCAAACCCACATGCGAGTGACAGATACATTGTGCTGCAAGCCTTAAGACTTTCAGAGT